TTAGGGGTTTAGGGGTTTAAGGTGTAGGGGCTTAAGGTTTAGGGGTTTCGGGCTTGGTTGTACTATGGCAACTGAAATCGGAGTTTCAGATTACAAGAGACCCTGACAGCATAAACTCGTAAACTCCAGCACCTTCGGGTGTAATGTAGGGCCTAAATAAGTACCAATCCTATTTTTAGGGGTTCCTGATTGCAATCATAGCAATATAGTATAATGGGCCCCCAAGCCCTATTCTAATTTCTAAGGCCCCTATCTTAGGTTTTAGGGTATTAGGCTATTGACAGCGAAATCCCCCAAGTCGACTCCAAAAAGGTGGCGAAGTGCCCTGAAGGGTCGTGTGCATTTCTTCCCAGAGCTCTTATTGGAATAGGTTTTCTGCGGGATATCATACCAATACTATTAGTTGTAGTAGGAACCCTAAGGAAGAATATTGGTAGTTAAACCCTAAACCCCAAACCCTAAAGGCCAAAACCCTAAATCCTATTCAGGCCCTCTATTCCTGTTCAGGGCACCTCTGTGTTTACAGTAGGGTTTCAAGCGCAGTACCCGTTGATGACCCCTGAACCCCAGACCCGATACCCAACTCCGAAGTAAGTTTAGGGTTTAGGGTTTAGGATTTGGGGTTTAAGACAAAGTTTAGGATTTAGGGTTTAAAGACCTGCTGTGGGTCTGGGTTGGATTTAGGGTTTATACCCTCAACCCCAAATTCAAAACCCGCGAAGCCCTACCGCCCAAACCAAACCTTTTGTGAAACGCCCCTAAACCCTAAACCCTAAACTCCGAGGCTTGACAAGTTGTGCTTTGCCGTGGTTCTTCCCGTCCCGGGGCCAGACATGATGCCTTGAACTTTGGGGTTTGGGAATTGGGGACCCTAAACCCTAAGCCCTAAACCCTAAACCCTAAACCCTAAACCCTAGAATTTGATGCCGTGATCATCAGTGAAGATTTGGGGGTTTTGGGTTGAGGGTCCTAGGATATTCGGGCTTGAAATCTGGATGCCTCAGATTAGGTTGAGGATATAGGATGGGTTCAGAGTTTAGAGGTTTTCGGGGCCCTAAACCCGTAAACCCAAAACCCCAAAACCCCCAAACCCTAAACCCAAAGCCCAAAACCCAAAATCCAAAACCCTAAACCCTAAACCCTAACACCCAAACCCGCTTGGGGTTCACAGTTCCGGCTTCGGGTTCGGCAGTATTGGGCTTGGGGTTTGGTGCTCAGGATTTTGGGCGTGTGGGTAGTTCTCTAAACTAGGGTTTAGGGTTTAAGGTTTAGGTCCCCAATGTAGTACGGCACACTTATACAAAGGACCCTGAAAGAGACCCTAATTTAGAGAACTACCCATGTGAGATCCGACAAAGGGTTTAGTGTCTCGGGTGTTACTACACTTTCATGTAATAGAGTATATTATAACAACCTGTATTATTTTGATGTCGTACACTCCACCATAGTATAATGTAAGCTGAGCCAGCTGCGGTTTATGGTTTAGGGGTCTTACTTACATATTCTTCTTCCAGCAAGAAGGGTTATCTTAGTTCTGAGCCGCTTCTGAACCGCAGAAGTAGGGGTCTTAATAGGGGTTTAAGGCTTTGGACGAGAATTCGCAACAAGTTTGCAAAACTCCAAGCACAACGAAGGTCCACCTTCTGCTTTGCCAACTATGCGGAGGGTTTCTTGGCTTGGCCACTAATGCAAGTAGCAGAAGTCGTGTTTCGGCCTAAGGTTGACAGGAATTATATTAGGGGTCCGGATTAAAAGGGATGGAGTCTCGAGTTTTGGGGTCTTCAGGTTGCGATGAGGACTTCGCCCCTTCAGCACAAGGGCTGGTTGCCCCAAAACGGAAAAGCCCTTTCGGACCCTCGGCCTTTCGAACCCTTTACCCGCATGCTGCCCTAAACTCTAAGCCCTATATCCCTAAGAGCGAAGCTTGACCACGCTAAGCCTCCATTCCCAAAGCCAAAATCTAAACCGCTGGCCCCGCAAGTTAACTGCCTGCATGGCTTGCTCCTTCCGTCTTATCCCGATGGGTCCTATGTACCTGTATGAAGGTTCCTTTAAGGCTTCCTTTACGGCTTTAGGGTTGAGGGTTCCTCTAAGGCCTCCTAAGCTTAAGTAGCTCCGTAGTAGAATCCAGGGTTTTTGCAATGACTATTATTAGCAAAGTATCCCCGTAGCATGGCATAGGACACCTTTTAGGGTTTAGGGTTTAGGGTTTCCATGAAACCAGGCATCCCCAAAGCATGCAAGCCTGCTCCGGGGCTTTCAGCGTTTTGGATTTGATTTTAGGTGCAGTGCCGTTTAGGGTGTCGTGGAGCCTTTGATGGTAATATGGGGGGGCCTAAATAACTAGTTACCTATGCTATTTTGGGGGCTTCTCTTCTAATTATACTATAAAGGGCCCCGAAACCCTTTTCTAATTATTAGGGCTTCTACATTAAGCCCTCAGCCCTGAGGACCTGTGCCCGCAACTTGGACCAAGCCCTCATCCCTACACGAGAAAGCTGAAGTCTCAAACCCTAGCCCTATGAACGCTAAAGCCCGAAACCCTAAGCCCTAAAAATCCAAAACCCTAAAACCCTTAAAACCCTAACGCCCTAAAAATCCAAAACCCTAAAACCCTTAAAACCCTAACGCCCTAAACCCTAAACCCTAAAACCCTTAAAACCCTAACGCCCTAAGCCCTAAATCCTCAAACCCTAAAAAATCTAACGCCCTAAGCCCTAAATCCTCAAAACCCTAAAAAAAACCTAACGCCCTAAACTCTAAAGGGAAGCTTCGAAGATCTCCGAAGGCAGCTCACCACCAGCAACCTCTCCATCCTCTCCATTGGAGTCGCGCAGGGCCAGGCTTTCCATGGGCTTTTTTCCGGTTGGTGTAGGGTTCGGGTTTGGGATATTTTGGGGTTTAGGGTTTAGGGTTTAGGCTTCGGGTTTGGGATATTTTGGGGTTTAGGGTTTAGGGTTTAGGGTTCGGGTTTTGGATATTTTGGGGTTTAGGGTTTAGGGTTTAGGACCTAAGTCGCCGCAGTCTCAGCCTCAGCCTCAGTCTCTCACTCTCTCTCTCTCCCTCCCTCTTTTTCTCTCTGTCTGTCTCTGGCCGTCTCTCTCTCTCTCTCTGCCTCTCTGTCTCTCTCACTCTTTCTCTGGTTGTTTGCATGGTCTATTGGATTAAGGGCTGCGCTGTCGTGCGAGGTGCGCTTCAGGGATGCGGTGCGAAACATCGGCATCGTGCTTGCCGGGAACGCCATCGGAGTCCTTCTGATCCTTGCTGCCGTCCGTTACTTGCAGGTCTTGGATGCCTCATCTCTCGCCGTGGCGGCCGTTATGGCGAAGAGCAAGTGCGGCTACACGTTCGGCCAGACGGTCGTAAAGGCTTTCCTTTGCAACTGGATGGTTTTCGTGGCATATTGGATGGGGGTGCCTTGGATCTGCTTAAGAGGGCCATTGGCGCTTCTCGTGACATTTGACGGTTTTGTAGCCGCCATATGGCAGAAGTGCGCGCAGTCACAGGGATTTGGTCTGTCTGGAACCGGGCCCGTAGGGGTGGGTCGGTGAACCGAGAACCGGATCATATAAAACGTACTCGAGCTTTACTTTTCGGTATTTGTGCAGTCAATCAGCAGGATACAGCAGACCCTAGAATCCTTGAGCCCCTCTATTGGAGCAGTTAAGGGTTTAGGGAGTTTGGCCCTAAACCCTAAACCCTAAACCCTAAACCCTAAACCCTAAACCCTAAACCCTAAACCCTAAACCCTAAAGGGTTGAGGGTTTGGGTGTAAGCCTTGCAGATGCATCGACTTCTCAGTTCGCTCAGACCTTGTCATGGGCGTCGCTCGCGAGATTTCCCTGCAACCCCGAAACCCTAAACCCTGGACCCTAAACCCTAAACCCTAAACCCTAAACCCTAAAACCCCTAAACCCTAAAACCCCTAAACCCTTATTTTGTCTCTCCAACACCTCTCCGGCCTTCTAAAGCCCGCGACCCAAAACATCTTCCACAGCCTCTCGCAAGGCGCAAAGTAGTCCAAAACTTGGTAGAGGTTCCCTTTTAAAGGCAGCTGTAAGGAATCTATAAGGGATCCATGAGGGATCTCTAAGGGTTCTTTATAGGCTTTAAGGCTCGAGCTTCAGTCTTCCCGAATCATCATAAGCAAAGCATCTTTTGAGGTTTAGGGTTTAGGGTTGAGGGGTTTAGGGTTTAGGGATCTTTTGATCATGTTGTTGCGGCAACGAAGCCCCAATCCCCAAACAGTCCCCCCCCCGAATCAGCTGAGATGTTGCGGACCCGAACGGAAGACCCAAACCGAGACTGGTATTGTGAAAGTCCCTTCTGAGAACAAAAGAACCCCAATGTAGGGGTCGGAATACTTCGTGAAGAGGTATAATTACCCCATAACATACTCCAATGACCTCTTTAGTAAACGAGATAAGGCGAGGACGGAGCGCTAGCCTCTAGCACCAGTGTTTGTGGCGTTTAAGACACCCGAACTTGCAAAGCTTCATAACTGGGTTCTGGTCAAGGCATTAAATTTAAGTTGCGTTTATAGGGATCTGTAGTCAATAATAGGGGTGTCCTTGTTATGATAAGCTAACGAGAACCCCAAAATAAGGTCATGTCGAAGGACATCAGAGGCAAGATGACCGGAATATGGACGGGAGTTTTTATGTACGCCGCGGTGGGCTTCGAGCACATCGTCTCCTCCTCAGCCAGAGGTTGACTGTTGGGAGTTGGCGTTTCGGGTTTAGGGTGTAGGTGTTTAGGGTTTAGGGGTTTAGGGTTTAGGGTCTATGGTTTAGGGTCTGTCTGCCTGTCTGCGTGCTTGCCTGGCGTCGTCTCCCTCACTCTCTCTTTCTCTCTCTCTCTCTCTTGCTTTTTCCCCCTCCCATGCCTGATGACAAACCAGATAAACTGGGGCAGCCCTTAACATAAGCCCAACTTAAGTCGAACCCTACCGCTACGAGGTGACGAACATGTTCCTTCTCCCCGCGGCCGCTATGGGTGGCACCCACTTCACAATGCTCGAAATGGCTCAGAAGAATCTGATCCCAGTCCTGTTGGGCAATGCCGGGCCCTTTGAAGGTTTGTTTGGGTTTTGGGAAGCCCCAAATGCAGCACAGTGTTCGCTGGGTGGGTTAGCAGTTTGTTTGATGCCCTAAACCCAAAACCCTAAACCTCAAACCCTAGACCCAAAATCCTAAACCCAAAAGTCTGAACCCCAAACCCTAAACCCAGAACCCTAAACCCCAAACCCTAAACCCCCAACCCTGACCGCTCTTTTCGGCCTGGTTTGCCCTTTGCCTCTAAGACCCCGAGCCCCAACGAGACCTCAATTCGGTTTTGGGAGTCGAGGGTTGCGCCTTGTTTGGGTTTAGCACTGTAGGGTTTAGGGTTTAGCAGTGTGCGGTTTAAGGTTTAGGGTTTGGCAGTGTAGGGTTTAGGGTTTAGGGTTTAGCAGTGTAGGGTTTAAGGTTTAGGGTTTAGCAGTGCAGGGTTTAGGGTTTAGGGTTTAGCAGTGTAGGGTTTAGGGTTTAGGGTTTAGCATTGTAGGGTTTAGGGTTTAGGGTTTAGGGTTTAGCAGTGTAGGCTTTAGGGTTTAGGGTTTAGCAGTGCAGGGTTTGGGAGGGTCTAAGTGTCTGACACGGTTTGGGAGTCAGGAATAAGGGTTTAAATTTAGGCGTTCAGGGTTTGAGGGTTTTGATGTTGAAGGCTTCAGACATCTAATGGTTTGGGCTAGCGGCCAAAGTTAGCGTCACGCTGAACCTCAAATCCCCAAGCCCAAGCTCTAAGGCCTGAAAAGCCCAGAACCTCAAAGCCCTGGGCAGAACGCCCAAAGAGTTTATAGCGGCTTTAGGGCTTTAGGGTTTAGGATTTAGGGCCCAAAGGGTTTACGGCTTTAGGGCTTTAGGGGGACCCTTAGGCACCTGAGCCCCGAAATCCCTGAGACCCATCCCCAAAGCCGATAAGGTGGCAGCTTCCATCGTGGTCGCCGGCGGATCTTTCGGCGTTGCCTTCGGGCACCTTGGCCTGCACAGGTCTAGGTCAGTTTCAGGCTGTTGAAGGGTGTGGGGGTCCCGGTTTCAAGATGGCTGAGGGTTTAGGATCATGAAAATATCCTGTGGCATGGTGAAACCCCCAGACAAGCCTGCCGACAACACCGGATAACCCCAGAATCGCACCTTTAGGCTTTAGGGTTTAGGATCCTGCTATCTAGAGTGCTGCAGTCACTCTTGTCGTCCAGTCCTGGTCAGCTTCTTCAGCAGGTCTTCATTGCTTTCCGCCCCTCCGGGCCATTGTTCTTTCTCGTTTGATTGTTTCTTGCGCTTCTCCACTTTGTAGTAGTGTTTTTACTACTCCATGACCTAGAGCCTGCATAATAAACCCCAAGCCCTCAACAACCCCAAACCCCTAAACGCCAAAGCCCTAAACCCCCAAGCCATAAACCCCAAAGCGCTAAACCCGAAACCCTGAACGGCTCTATTCTTAAGGCCCCTATGTTGACCAACCAGCCCAGTTGGTTCTTACGCAGAAGTTCCCGAACGCCAAGATTTAGGGTCTGCTTGAGTCTAGGGTTTATAGGGTTTCGGGTTCATGGTCTAGGGTGTAGGGTTGAGGGTTGTAATGGCTGTGAAGCATTTTAAAATAAGGGTCCTTGTGTGAGGGATTTTCAATCAAGAGATCATAAGTCGGAGCCTCAGCCCAGGCGTCTCTCAAAGCGGCTGCAAATGAAGCCTCCCAGGAAGCTAAAAGCCACTGGACGAAAGGGCTTAAGGGGGTCCCAAGGAGGCCTACCGGGGTTTTTGTGGCATCCTGGAGATTGTTTTAGGGTTTAGGGTTTAGGGTTTAGGGTTTAGGGTTTAGGGTTCGGTGCTAGGAGTTTTCCGGTGTGGGGGTTCGGGGTAGATTGAGGGTCGAGTGTCCAGGGTCCGCAGTTTCAGTTCTTAGGAAGTCTTAGGAGTTGGCATGTAGTGCACCCTAAACTCTAAACCCTAAACCCTGGTTTGAGGGTCCCGAGGTCTCGGGTCCAGGGTTTAGGGTTCTAGGGTTCAGAAGTCCAGGGATCAGGCTTAAATGTTTGGGATGCGGACTTACGCACTTCTGAAAGGAAAAGTCGAGAGGCAAAGCATAGGACATAGAAGGACTACTATAAAGGACTCTATGGGGGCTCTTATCGGGATCCACGCTCCTACTACCCCTGAAGCACCAGTAAGCTTAGCGTCTAGTTTCGTTTATTTTGGGCACTCGTGTTCCTTGAGAAGTCACTGGGTTTCAGTGTTGGAACCTTACGAGTATACATGGGTGTTTGCGGTTTAGGCTCTAGGGCCTAAGCCCTCAACCATAAATCCTTAAACTCACCCATATACGAAAACTTCTACAGTTAGGGTTTAATCTATCCTCCTTGAAACTTTAGGTTAGGGATTGGGGGCTTTAGGGCTTTAGGGTCTAGGGCCCTGGAACTCGAGTGAGTTCCCATTGTAGCTCCCTTCCCCTTGAGAAATGTGGGACCTTATGAGATAGTATATCAGGCTCCATGGTTCTATCGAGTAAGGAGGGTAAGGTGCAGCCGAGATCTTTGGACGCTAAGCCTTGAACGTCCTTGGCCCTTGAACCCTAATTCCTTTTCCCCTAACAATATCCTGCACCTGAGCACCTGATTTTAAAATGTCCCGGCCCCTGGGATTCGCGGTTTCGGGCCCGCAATTGAAAGTTAATTAAAAACATAATTAGGGCGGGCCTAGAATTGTATTGGTTTCAATAGAGCCAAGACTACAGTAGTGCTAAACCGAGGTTTAGGGGCTTGGGGTTTGGGGCTTAAGGTCTAGGCCTTAAAGCTTCAGGGCTCAAGGTTTAGGGCATGGGCTTACGGCTTCGGGGTTTAGGGCTCAGGGTATTAAACCGAAAGGACCAGGGCTTTAGGGTTTAAGGGCTTGGGGCTTGGGGCTTAAGGTTCAGGGCTAGGGCTTTCGGGCTCAAGGTTTAGGGCTTAGGGCTTTAGGGTTCAGGGCTCAGGGCTTGGGACTTAGGGTTTCAAGCTTTAATTAATCAGGGCTTTAAATATGTAAGGAGGCTACAGGAGTAGGATAACTAGCAGCTAGGAGTCGAGGTAGTTCTAGTATTACGGGGATCTGGCCTGGGAAATATTTAATGGTGAAGATCATTCTGGAGTTTAAGCCAGGGTTCAGTTGGGTTCAATTCAGAGGTTGAGGGCTAGGATAACAAGGAGCCAGGAGTCGAGGTAGCTTTCATGGGGAGGGGGGGGGGGGTTGCTTCGGGGTTTAGTAACTGTTCTTGGGCTTGTGATTAGGGGCTGGCTGACTACTTACCTTTCCTCCCTCCCTCCTTGCTGCTGAGCAAGGACTCGCTCATGCACCTCCTTAAACCCTAAACCCTAAACCCCAAACCCTAAGCCATAAACCTCTAAACCCTAAACCCCTAAAACCTTGCTCCCTGCCTCCCCCTCGTCTTTGTTGCATCAATCAGTCGGTGACTGCTTGGTTGTCTGTCTGGCTGCCTGAACAGAAGGAGGCCTGCTTGACTGGCTGTCCAGGCGGTCTGGCTGCCTGTAAAACAACACGCTGCCTGTGCTGTCTCTCGGCCTACTGTAGGGGCCTCAATAATTACCTATACTATTGTGGTGGTTCCTAATTATAATTATAGTATAATATACCCCAAGACCCTACTCTAGTTATTAAGGCCCAGACATTATGGCCTGAAGAGCAAGAGCAGCCAGGAGAAGGGGGGGCCCGCCTGTCTCAGGCGGGCGCCCCCATTCCAACATGAGTTGGCAACAAAATGGCCTCCCGAGAGATTCGTTAATGAAAGCAGCACAAAGAAAACACAACTGACTGTCCAGCCTGTGATGTCTGCCCAAACTAGGCAGGCTGCCTGTCTGCTCTACAGCCGGAACGGCTGCGTAGGAAACGGTAGTTGTTGAATTACTTACTTGTCTGACTGTCTGGTTCATTAACTTAAATATTATCACTGACAACCCCACTCATACCCGGATGTGCCGAACCCCCCAATATAAAAACTAAAAACCAAACCCCCAGCTTCCTGTTGTTATCTTATTAGGGGGGTCATTTTAATACTAGGGGGAAGGGATTAGGGTTTAGGTTTTAGGGTTTAGGGCAACCCTGAACGCTGCAACTTCTGCTGCCATCCAAGAGCTGAGCAATGCTGCAGTAGAAACAACAGCCACACTCACAGCAACATCAGTATGAATTTCAATGGAAATAGTCTGAGTCGCTGTGTAAGTAGTAGCGGTGTAGGGTCTAGGGTTTAGGGTTGAGTAGTAGCCAGAAGAAGGTCGTAGGGTTCATGGTATGGGATCGCATCGCCGCCGATCTCCCTAACCCCGCCTTCGAAAATCCAGGCGCAGAAACCACAAACTGTAAAGCCCTCGAACCTGAACCCTCGACCCTACATTCGTAAGCATTAAATTCTGGCCCCAGGGCCTAGTTATCCGGCTAAATTACTTTCTTCTCAACTGCATTTCGAAGTAGCCCATGAACCTACAAGTGCTCCGATGTACATCTGCAAGGCCGCCTTTAAACTTCGTTGACGTGATTGTGGAGTGCACTCCTCAAGGGCTCCATAGTCCCTGAAAAGGGTGCTTTGCGGCCAAAGGTATATAGTATGTAGGAAACCCGAAGGCCTGAACCCATAAATATACCCTTACAGAACCCCAAGGAACCCTTGAAGGAGCCCTTAAGGTACCTTTAAAGGAACCCTGACGTTGCGGGATCCTGGGCAGAAGGGTTTCGAGTTGCCGTTCAGAGTCCTGTCCTGCCGTAGTCGGCCCAACGTTCATGGAAGTACTGTTGATGATCTAAATCCTGCATTGCCCATACTACGGAATATACCACAATCCCCATAGCGCCATAGTTTAGGGTCCTTCAGGTGAAGCAGGATTTATATCATCAACAGTAGCTCCTAAACCCTGAGCCTTACTTCCTTAGTTACTTCCTAAACCCTGAACCCTAAATCCTTAGGTCTTATAAACCCTGAATCTTACATCGAACACTAAGCCCGAAAAGCCCTAAACCCAATGCCTCAAAATCCTCTAACCCTCGGGTTTGCGGTCTCAGGTGTTTGTGGCCGGCGTCCGAGCAAGGATGTGAGCCGGCTGCTTTGGCAAGACAGCCCCCTGGTCCCATGCTTTGGCTTCTACCACGGTGTAAGGTTCAGGGTTTAGGGTTTAGGGTTTAGGGTTTAGGGGTTTAGGGGTTTAGGGTTTAGGGTTTAGGGTTTAGGGTTTAGAGCCAACCTGCTGATGTAGGTTTCCTTATCATGATCTTTTGTGTTACGTAAGTCCTCAAAAGCCGAAGGTTTCTTTCGGGTGAAGGGCGGGTTTGGGTGGGTTTAAGTTTAGGGCGTTTAGCGTTTATGTTACGTCACCCCCTCCAAAACAAAGTGCAACTTCAGTAGGGTGGCATTTCCGACGAGACCCTTTTTACAAGAACCTAGGCTGCGATTTTGCTTTTCTGGCATCATTGGAAGGATTCACTAACTTAAATGTTTTGTTGGGGTTCAAACCCTAAACCCTAAACACTAAACCCAAAACCCATACGAACCCTAAGCCCTAAACCCTAAACACTAAACCCTAAACCCTTTCAAACCCCAAACCCTAAGCCCTAAACCCATTCAAACCCTAAATTCAACGCGAGCCCTAGACCTTGCAAGTCTCACGGAAGCTCGGAGACCCCATGCATCAAAGCCCTAAGCCCAAACGCCTTAATGTAGGGGCTAAATAAATACGAAAACTGACCTTTTGGGTTCCGAATGGTATAATTAGGGTTTAGGGTTTAGGATTATGGTATAATTGGCCCCAGAACCCTATTCTAATTATTGAGGCCCCTACATTACGCCCTAAGCCGCACACCCAAGGGCCCGAAACGCAAGCCAAGGGGAGGAGCAACGCGTAATATAGGGTTTGGAATGTGGGACCTTTTTAGTTTCTTAAACGAAATGCTACCCCCGAAAACCTTACTCAAACCATTAGGGCCCTGATTTTACATCTGCAGCGACTGTGTCTGAGGCTTCGACCAGAAGCTTTTCTGGGAGTTTCTGACAAAACTGGAGCTTCGGGGCTCAGATATTAGGGTTGAAAGTCAGGGAAACATAACTTAGGACCCAAATCAGTAGCAGAGTGCAGATAAGACTGTCAACGACTGTCAACGGCTAGAGCCGCTCATTTTTGAGAAACTCTCGTCTGAGGCCCTGCTCGAATTAGATTCGACAGCTCGACAGGAGCCATGTGAATTGGCCAGATCGAGCTGCATAACTTTTTCCATCAGAGTGCTCGCGGCTGATTTAGAAGAGTAAGATCTTCTTGCCTTCAGCCGCTGCGCTCGGTTTTGAAGTAAGTTTTGAACAGGCGTGAATCCTTACAAGCT